AAATCCTAAAAATATATATAATGCTAAGATGCAGTTACCAGAACTGGCCACTAAAGGGAGCCAGAGACCATGCTATATATCAGTGGTGGTGAACCTTTTTGGGCCTGAGTGCCCAAACTGGGGAAAAAAAACCCACAAAAGGTCCAGTGGGCTGCGGGTCATGTTGGCGTCGGAACCAGAAGTGGCAGCGGAAGGGGGAATCCCAGGCACAGAGGTGCCTCAAGACCCAACTCCAGATCTTCCGCCAGTGCCAGCTGCTTTGGATTCTGGCTCGCCGCCTGTCATAGTGCCAGCAGCCACCTCCTGAGGTTTCGCTGCGGGATGTGTGTGTAGCGATCTGGCAACGTATGGCTCACGTCCCTGTAGAAGGGCTCTGTGCGCTAGCTGTGCATGCCATATGTTCGCCATCACTGCTATATATAGTGTTCACTATAATCTGCATTTTGCAGCATCCCACCTGTCATAGTGCCAGCAGCCGCTGCGGGGTGTGTGTGTAGCGATCTGGCAAATTATGGCTCACATCCCTGCAGAAAGGGCTCTGTGTGCTAGCTGTGCATGCCATATGTTCACCATCACTGCTATATATTGTGTTCATTATAATCTGCATTTTCCAGCATCCCTGGGGGGGATGGCTTGGAATTGATCTTCCACAGATATGGGGGTCCTATTGCATATGGAAAAAAACTGATGTGAAAAAAAGCTGATGTACATGTTGCAGTGTTATACATAGTGAGTATAAAATAGTATCATCACCCCTTAAAAATCCTAACCAAAAGCCACTGTTGCCTTTTTATAAGCCATTTTCATACCATTAATTTTGTGAGCTGCTATGTGCATAAAATAACCATCATTCTAAATGCATGAAAACTTAAAACTTACTCCTCCTGCAGCTGTCATTTGATCTGCCTTCCACAGATAAAGGGCTGTGGCTGTTGAAGATAATCTCTGAGTACTGAACTTCTGGGGGTTCCCTCTACCACACCACAGCCTCCTGCATTCAGGAAGGGCCCCCTGACACTCTCTCCAGCATTTTCATGATGCTCGGCAGGCTGCCATAGGAATGAAGTTGTGCAATTTTCTGTTTCCACCATCAGTTCAGTTCCATGCCAAAAAAAGCACAACTGGGATGTAAATCTAAGACCTCTTTTGTATTATATATTGTCAGTTTATGTCCATGCATAAAGAATGCTTCAAACATTTATATTTATGTGATGTATGATTTTAAAATGTTTTTCTTCACATTGCAGTAGTAAGAGTTAAATAATCCTATGTTTCATTGCTAGTATATAAACACATTACCATTGCTAATCAGTAATACTGATTTTGTTTTAATTTTTCCTAATAATTAAGCAAAAGAACTAGGATGCAATCAAGTTGTACACTAGGGGGTTCATGCAAATAGTTGAGACTTCTTTTTACCTTTTTGTTAAATGTATTCAAAAGGAAATTTATTGACATTTCGAGAAAGGAAATACAATTTACTTCCATAATCTGTTTTAATGAAGGAAGTCACCACTCGTTATTCCTGCTTAACATAATTCACTGAATATTACAGTATTATCTACTGGCAAAGTTTTTGAGATTTGGTGCAGACCAAGGACTTTGCAAAATCTAGATGGAATTAGAGGAAAGTATTATATGGCATAGAACTGTAGAATCCCCACTTTGGATGAGATTTGTTTTAAGAGTCTGTTAAAAATAGGCTTGAAGTGGGCTACCCAAAGTTTGAAGCCGGAGCTTGGCTGGTTATTTTTAACAGGATAACCTTCAGTCACTTTGGAAGAGAGCAATATACCATAAAATCAACGGATACGGCTATTTGGTAGAATGTATTCAACAAATGGGATACATGAAGGCCAAGAGTAATCTTAGGCAGCGAGACGGAAGGGAAGCAGGACCTTGGTATCGTCATAAATAGGCTTATACTTGATAATGCACTGATTCCACCAAAACCGGCTAAATATACTTACACTTAACACCTAAACAATGTAAAGCCCTTACTCTGGCCCGCTTCACTGCACTTCCATCACGAAAATTCAGATATGTTGTCAAAAGTAGCTAAATTCTGTGCTTCTGCAATCAAAATCCGTGGAGGAAAGGTGCCACCCAAAGTGCAGCCATAGTATTTGTAAATGGGTGTATACACGTAGAGACCTTAATGATCATACGGGCTCTATGAGCTTCCAAGTAACAATTCTGTCATTCTATGCAAGCTACAATAGCCCATAGACAAGGCCTATGATAGGGAGACAGGAGATATCTAATAAGATGTGTGAATGTAGTCATATATATGTATATAGATGTTTTAGTGCTTTTAGATTGATTTTATGTTTCCTAATTTAAATAATGTTGCTTACCTTTTGTTGGTCAATGACCGTAATAAAACATTTTATTATTATTATGATCATGACATGTTGACATAATTTCTTTGTTGAGAATGAGATGAACCAGAAATGACCACGTCAAGTCAAATGCAATAGCATGCTTTCCCCTATTCATATTAAATATGTCATAGCATATAGCAATTATATGTGTATTTGCAATGCATTCCTCTATAATACTATTGTTTTGACTTTAGTAGTAGTAGTAGTAGTAGTAGTAGTAGTCACTTTCAAAGAGATAGCTCTGTTAGTCTATTTCTGCTCATATAGTAATTTTTTTTTTGTTTGTGACAGCTTTAAGACTAACAGATTCATCTCAGTTTTCATAGGTCACAAACCCACTTCATTATACTTCTGGGCTCTGATTGAAAGTCTTGGTTTGTGGGAGGGGGGAATATTTAGAAGGAAAAGTTGTATTCCTCACCTTTAACCCTCCACAAAACATCATTCTCACTTTATTCTGGAACAGCTAGGTTTAAAACACATGGATTTGCCACAGTCATGTCCAGTTTGGCCATTGGATATTGGTTGAATTCAGATATTACTTCACATTATGATGTTGCCATTATATCTGAACCTCCTATACCAGTTTACAAATTGTGATTTGAGAGGAGCTATCAGACCACTGTAGGTTTCATGTTACTGTGCAATCTATTATTTTACATCTGAATTCAGTAATCATTGACAAACCGCAGTGTTTGTCATACTTCCACATGAAGGGGCTGCTAGTCATGAAGACTGCAGGAAACTGAGTGAGCAGGTGCAACATGAGAGACCAGGTCCTGTCTAAACTATATGTTGCCTGTTTCAAAAGCTCAAGCTAGGGAATAGAAAATGAACTAGGGTCATAGCTTAGCAATCGCAGATTGTCTTGAGTTGAGCCACACAGCAGCATCTCTAGCCTACTTTCATGTGTACAACTCTGTGTTGTGTGCAGGCCTGCATATACAACAGTCCTGATAGTACATGCAGTTCTGCTTATGCCATGATCCTCAATGTACATGTAATAAGCTATTAATAGCAGGAAACATTCCATGAGCATACCACCATCTACTAAGAAGTTAAGGGTAATCAAGAAGAGCATTCCAAAAGGTGTGTAGCAGAGATGGCCCAGAACATTTTCTTCCTAAGCTGAAGACTATTCAAGCTATCTAGACTGAAAACTAAAATTTTCTTCAACATTGGAAATGGGGTAACATCCACTACTCTGCTTTAAGGCAGCGTTTACTAGGTTAGGAAATGAAGGACAGGCTGAACATCATAGAAAAAGCTCTCTTATAAACCTTTGCTATAGCTACCCACCCCTGCAAATTCTGCCACCTGAGGCAGCTGCCACCTGAGGCAGCTGCCTAATGGTTGAACAAGCCTTGTCATTCATTACTACGTATTCTTTTTAATGGGAGCAAAAAAAGATGGATCAAAGTAGCCTTTGCATAATAGTATCAGGGGGGAAAAACCTTCTAATTGACCCGTATTATAACACGAAAGGAAATCTTACGGTATTTGATCATGTAATCACACACACAATCAGTCTGAATTCTTTTAATAATGATTCTTGGAGCAGGGACTAATGATGAATGTCCATCAATAAAATAATCAACAGAAAACAGACTGTAGTTCCACACTTACTCATTTTAGAATAAGACTTGTTGAATTTAATGTGGCTTAACTTCTGCCTGGCTAAAACTTGACAGAATTGTTCTGTGTTTCATTGAATTACAAAGTCGACAAAGTTGCATGTGCATTTAACAATTAAATTATTAATGAAACTCTGTTTCCCTGAAAATAAGACCTAACCTGAAAATAAGCCCTAGTAGGATTTTTCAGGATGCTCGTAATATAAGCCCTAGTTAAGTGAAAACCCGCCCTCCACCACTGTGCAGCAACCAGATGACATGACTATATTTGAATAAACGTAGATTGTTGTACATGAAAATAAAAAAATCCCCTGAAAATAAGCCCTACAGCTTTTTTTGGAGCAAAAATTAATATAAGACCCTGTCTTATTTTTGGGGAAACAGGTTATGTGAGGAACATGGGTAGTGAATAGAGTGACGGACTAGGACTCAGGAAGTCTTGGTTTGAATGCCTGCTCAGCTCTGGAAGCTCACTGGAGGCGTTAAACTGGTAAAACCACTCCCTAAATATCTCACTTACCTTGAAAGCTCTATTAGGGATGCCATAAGTTGGTCTTGACTTGAGGGCACAGAACAACAACAGATCGGTCCAGGGCACATTTTATATTTGTATTTTATGTTTATTGCTGCAGCCAATAGCTGCATTCTAGTATTGTCAGATATGTTGCACTAGATGTTAAACTTCATCCCTTAATTTCTTCATGTTCCTAGAAGTTTGAGGTCTTTCTTGAAAATACCCCTTCATTTATGCAATAAACACCTGCAACTCCCCCCCCATCTCAATCAATAAAACACCTACACTTTTCACATCTTCACATGGTCTTTTGTTTTGTCTCCTCCTGACTGATGGGTACACAGCCAGTCTAGATAATGTTTTGTGTGTGTGTGTGCGCACGTGTGCGTGCTATAATGCTTTTATATAGTTTGCATAAATTCTCTTTCTCTTTCCTCTCTTCCCCCTCTCTTCACCTCTTAGGGCTTTTCTGGTGAAAAGATGTTTTTTTCCTTCGATTGGTTCATCATACTTCTGTACCACTGGATGGACACAACTTTATCCCTAAATCTAGAGGATCCAAATGTGTGTAGCCACTGGGAGAGGTAATTTTTAAAAAATTCATAGAATAATCATGATATTTTACTAGTATTTTATGCTTATTATTGTTCATTTTGATTAGAAGTATATTATGTTAAGCTATGGACTATAAACTGAAGGGGACTAAACAGAGAAGAAAGGTAAGCCTGGCCCAAACATGGTTCTGCATTAAAATCCATCCATGTATGAATTGGGAAGCAGAGGCCATTTTTAACAGCAGACATATTCTAAATGTGTTTCTTTAATCTAATTAACTCAGTAGGAGAATCTGCATATTTGGAGTATAATTAGCCCTATTGGAAGTCATTGAGGTATAATTATGAAGCTTTTAAAATCTATATAAAATCTTGTTGGGTTGATTATCTTCTTATGAGGGAATGAGGCAAAAAATTCAGAAACAGATAGTGTATAGTTTTAATTTCAATGCAATGTATTTTTCATTTTACTGGAAAGGGTAGTCCTGTGGATGGGATCAGGTACCTCTTTTGCTTAAGCATGGATGTGCTCTTTGAGCATCATAATGCTCTTACACACAAAGAGCTGAAAGGCTGGGTGATTCTTGAACAACACCAAAACAAGTTTTTTTAAAATCCCAATTTTAAAAAACATAATTTGTTGGTTTGGAAAGCAGCTAAATAAAACGGGACAGAACAAAAAACAAAACAAAAAAGGAAGTAGGGCTAGTGGTTATGCCTAAAGAAAGCAACATTTAATCTGTCTCCCTCTGTTCATGGGTGTGGCAAGATGAAAGAACATATTTTAAAAAACCATTATCTGGAAAATTGCATAGCACTAGCAGCTCTGCTGAAATAGACTGTAGGAAACACCAGGAGAATCTATCAATTTATTCCTGCTTGTGTCTTTGGTGAATTCATGTAAATAATCCCAACTGAATTGTGATCACAGGGTGAAAAATCTTCCCTAAGGGTGAATAAAGGACATGCTGAATGTATGAGGCTATTGGCATAATCCTGTGCACGCAGTGAAGTCTTACAGAATGCACTTATTTTTAAGTGATTCGCCACAAGAATGGGCAGCTCCTTAGTTAAATTACACTCTGTTTTCTTGAACGGTAATCTGGGCTGTGAAATATCATTTAGAAACTCTACAAAGAAACTTTGTACTTACTGCCAATTAGTTCTCTTTAGATTTTGAGGGGTTCTCATAATTTTTCTTTTCTTGAAGTAACGTAAGCTTGTCAAGTCCACTTTGAATGTGGCCAGCTGCCAATCATTTTAAAATAAGAGGCTTAATTCAGTGTGATGCCGTTCTGTGACAGAGGTTTTCTTTCCCTTTCTCTCCTCCTGCAACCCACAAATCACTTGAAAACTGGCTCCAGAGCATTTCCCAGATCTGTTGGGCTGTTTGAGGAGTTGCAGGTAGAAGGGAGATTACCTCCTTCCTTGCTTACACTGCTGCCTGGGGAGGGGGCGATGGCAGAAGGGGGAATCCCGGGCAGGGAGGTGCCTCCAGACCCCACTATGGATCCGCCTCCAGTTGTGCCCAACCCCGCCACTGCCTATAGCTTGGCTGGCCGGCCCGCCGCCACCAGCGCCAGCTGCTCTGGATCCTGGCCTGTCGCCTGTCGGGGCACTAGCACTGTGGCTGCAGCCGCCTCCTCAGGTTTGGCTGCCAGGGGTAGCGATCCAGCAACTTATGGCTCGCGTGCCCACAGAAAGGGCTGGGTGTGTCAGCTGTTCGCCATCACTGCTTAGAGGTTGTCCTTCATTAAATATGGTCCATATAAACAAGAATTACTAACGCATGTTACAACCTTCTTGCCATAATTATTTTTCAAGCTATGTATTAAGGCTCCCCCACTCCACTTTTGAGTGGGTCATTATTTAAACATTAAGAATATTTGTACATGCTACTCAGCTGTAGGTTTACTTATTTGTTGTAGCAAATACTACAGTGGTGCCTCACTTAGTGATGTTTATCCGTTCCGGAAAAAACATCGCTAAGTGATTTCATCGCTACGTGATATGAAAAAGCCCATAGGAATGTATTAAAACGTGTTTAATACATTCCTATGGGCTAAAAACATACCTTAAAGCGAAATTCCTCCATAGTGGTGGCCATTTTGGGTGCCTCTCAAGCGAGGCAAAACAGCGGCAGCCATTTTGCTTTTGTGGCGGCCATTTTGGAACTGCCAATCAGCTGTTTAAAAAAGTTCGCTTTGCCATGATCGCTTCCCTGTGATCATCGCAAAGCGAATTTTAGCCATAGGGGCCATCGCTAAGTGATCATTCCAGCAATGGCCAAAAGTCCATCTCCAAGCGATTTCATCACTCAACAGAGCAATCGCTAAGTGAGGCACCATTGTATATTAATGTTTTGTTAAACAGAAACACTTGTTCCCCAACCCCCCCAATAATCCAACCCCTTAGTGTTCTTATTGATAGCATTCTGAATGTTTGTTAAAATTGTTAATGTTCAGTAAAAGTTATTGGCTAGTATCCTGTTCAGTATTTACATGTTTGAAGCTCCAGTGGCAGTAGCTGCAGCAGCAATATGACAAAGTGCTTGCCATATGCAACTGTGTGCTCAGGCACATGACCAGATATGACCAGCACTTTGTCAAATTGCTGTGGCAGCTTCTATAGTTGATCCATTATTGAACAGGATGGTGCCTGTTAGGAGTAGAAAAAGAAGCAGGAACTCCCTCAGAACAGGCTGGTGAAAATAAGTACTGACATATCAGGACTGTTGTACACAGTATGAATTCAGATCTGTATTAAAGTAAAAAAATCATACAATTCATTCGCATATTCTCTATGAGAGAGTGAAGTAAAAAACATACCTGCCACAAGGACAAAATATTTATTTGGAGACATCCTAACCTATGGATTTTTCCCCCCTAAAATGTACCTATTTACCTGTATTTACATGAACTACTAATATTTTGGAATTTTTTTAAATAAACCTAATCTTTTACTTCCCTCCCATTAATTTATTTCAATTCAACAGTAGTTCTAATACAATATACTGTATGTGCATTTTTTTCTTTTTATGCAGTTATTCTGTTACTGTACAAGAATCGTATCCCCATCCTTTTGATCAAGTTTACTACACCAGCTGTACAGATATATTGAACTGGTTTAAATGCACGCGGCACAGGTGATTTTTAGAATAACCTTTGTTTTCACAATGCATTCTTAGAATAAACCTTTCAAAGTGATTAAGTGTTGTTTTTATATAGAATAAATTCAGGTAGACTGACATATTTCTGGCATGTCCTGGCTAGATAGCGCAGTGAATTAGGCATCTGGTTGTAGAACCAGAGGTTGGGAATTTTATTCCCCATTGCACCTCCATATGTAGCCTCAGGCGAGATATACAGTCCTAGAGCACCCCTAGAAAAAGAGGATGGCAAAATGTATCTGTGCATTATATACCCAGAAAATCTGGAAAGGGTAATCATAAATCATAATTGAGTTGAAGGCAATTTTTATTATTATTATTATTATTATTATTATTATTATTATTATTACAAATCAGATCCTATAGATGCCATCATAGTTCATATGTAGGCATAAGGGTGTTCATGTGTAGAATTAATCCTCAGTAGGACTGTGAGGATATGTAAGTCTCTGAAATATTATCTGTGAATTTTGCAATGGATTATCAGGTGACAGAGGATTATGTTATGCACTAGTGTGAAAATACATTTCCTTTCTCTAAACAGGAATTATGGAGAAGAGATGTGAGGTTGATGCACTGGCATATTCCGTTTTAATTATGGTAGAATGAAATGTGCCAAGCACTTATGCAGCATAGCCGCCATATTTTTTATGAGGCTTGTTATATGGGGCATAACATAAAGAGCATAGTCTTCAGCAAAGGAGAGAAGAGATGGTATCAAAAGGGTGGCTATTCTGATTTTTCGCAGCAAAATTATCAAAGGGTCTCATGACATGCTAAAGACTAACAAATTTATTATGACTAAATCTTTCATGAATTGTGACTCAGTTCAAAATACACATGCTTAGTTGCTTATCTTTAAGTACTTAACCAATTTTATATTTTACATTTGTATATTTTAATAGAATTAGTTACCGGACTGCCTACAGGCATGGAGAAAAAACTATGTATAGACGGAAATCTCAGTGTTGCCCTGGATTTTATGAAAGCAGGGAGATGTGCATCCGTAAGTAAATTTATTTTCAATACTGCCAAATTGGAGGTTGGATTTACTTCTCTCTACTTGACATGATTTCAGTGGCCCACATGCGGTTCTAATCACTCACCATTGACATGTATGTGGGATGCAATCCTACCACCTTCAGCCCATCAAGCTCATCTGATTTTGGAAGCTAAGAAGGGTTGCACTTGGTTAGTACTTGGATGAGGGATTTCTAGGGAATACCAGAGATCTCCAGGTGGAGCTAAGAATCCTGTCTGAATCTTGGACAGCTCTAATCCCATTTAGCTGGATGGACCAGTGGTTTGACTGAATGGAAGACAGCTTCCTTTGTCCCTATATTCCTCTGTCCTCTTCCTCCTCCATTACATCCCACTGGTATGTTTTCCAAAGAGGCACATTCAGCTGCATTTTCTGTCCTTGATGGAAATAGGGGTAGAGGGGAAAGAAACCTGCTACGTCTAGTATAGAAGATGTTGCTCCTTATTCCTACTACCATGTGGGATTGAAAACTGGTCTTCCCTCCCTCGGAAGGTCTTTAAATAGCCTTACTTAACTCAAAAGGCCAGAGTTGGTTTCACTTCACTTTTGTTGGTGATGAAACTATGCATGAATTGACGTAGTACTGATGCTTTGCTATACATCTGCTATGAGATCGTTTGGACCCTTCTTTAATACATAAACGAATTTATTACCTTTTGTCATGCTTCCTTGTTGAACATATTGAACACTCTCTGTTCTTAGAAAGTTATATAAAATTAAAAATTGTTTCCCAACATAATTTGAAAGTTTTGGAAGTACAGTTCTTTGGAGCTATAGCTAGATCAGAATACCTATCTATTTTTAAAATGAATATTTGTTGTGTGTTTTTATTTATACTATAGTTTTTAAGATATTTTGGCTCTGTCAGAGTTTGGAGACAATAATTTTTCGGCTGTAATTCTCAGAATAGTCCAGCCAGCATAGCTAATGGTTAATGGCCATGCTGACCAGGGAATTCTGGGGATTTGTATGTAGTCCAAGATGTAACATTTCCAGACTCTGATTATTTTGGAATTCTTAAATGGAGATGAGGAAAAAATAGGACTTACATTATTATGGAATAATTGCCTGTAAATTTTCATACAGGTATAGATTTTTTTTCTTTTTTAAGGTATTCCAAGAAACAGCATTTATTTTTTTACTATTTAAATAATCCAAAATTATGTCAATTATGGAACTCTCTGTGCAGGTTCTTTGAGGACTTGCTATGTCCACCTGCTCTCAGTTCAACAGGTAGGTTTCATAGTAGTTTAAAAGGCTGTGGTTTAATTCACTCTCTCTGAATTATTTTTCCTTGGAAATAACAATGCTGATGGATGCATGGCTTTTCTGATGGACAGCTCCAGCTGGCAGTTTGAAGTTCCTGTCTAGCATATCTGGTGCCAGGATTAGAAAAAACACTGATTATTTCTTCAGCTGTCAGTCAGTCAGGAAGGTCCTAGTGTATAAGATTAAAACTGGACAGTAGCGTTTCCAGGATGAAGAAAAACATTACTCAAAACTGGGAACAGTTACTTCTTAACCTTCAGAGTCACCATACAGCATGGTTTCTCTGGATCTGTAGTAAAAAATAAAATAAAAAACCAAACCCCAAACCAAAACTTTTCCAGAATCTTCTCTTAATGCTGAGCAGAGGATGGAGACCAATGCTTTAGGATCCATGAACAGTTGCTTTAAGAGGGATGTGAAAAAAGCAATTATTTTCAAAACCCAGCCTCATTCACTAATATTCCCATCTGATTTGCCATTCTGTTAAAACCAAAACAAAACTCTCTTTATTTCTTGGGTGTACGGGACATTTTTCTTATTAATGACTCCTGTGCTCTGCCCTTTAGTCACCTCAGAATTGCACAAATACTCCTCTGTTTGCTCATTTCTCTAAACACACAGGGCATGCACATGTGAATACTTTGAATCAGAGGAGGCTAAATTTTGGCCAGCAACTCCCATCATACCAGCATAGTCAATGGTGAGGGAAGGAGAGTTGTTATCTAAAACAACTCAAGGTTCCTTATCCATAATTTAAATCAAAACATAGTGAAATAATATTTTCAATTTTTAACACACACACACATTCTGAAGGATGGTGGGGTACCATGGGGTCATATATGGGTCCTCAGGACTGCATGTGGCCCATATGACTCCCAGATACCCCACCATCCTTCAAAATGTGTGTGTGTGTGTTAAAAATATTAATACCCGACACGTACTCTAGATTATAGTGTCCTGTAACAAGAAGATCATACACAATAATTCAAAGAATTATTAACACATATGTCTCAGGCATCTATATTAGGCAAAAACCCAGAGTTTGGGTGGCTGCTATGGCTGGCATGGTGTAAAATGGGGTTTAGACTCCAAAGTCTTTTTGTTTTAAAATGCGTTTGGTTTTAAAACGTGTTTGGTTTTAAAAGGTGTTTGGTTTAAAAGGTGCTTTTTGTTGTTGTTTAGTCGTTTAGTCATGTCCAACCCTTCATGACCCCATGGACCAGAGTACGCCAGGCCCTTTAAAATGTGTTTTGTTTAAAAGGTGCTTGGTTTGGTTTAAAAGGTGCTTGGTTTAAAAAGTGTTTGGCTTAAAAGGTGTTTTAGACTCCAAACTCTCCCGCCCATTGTCTTCTTTCTCTGTATCTTCTCTCTTTTTGTGCTTAACAGTACAAACCTTTGTCTGAGGGGTCTGTCTGCCCCAGTGATGACTTTTCGTCTTTTCCCCATTGTTCCCTCCCTCCCTCCTTTCCTGCCCTTTTTTAAACCTAAGTCATCTTAGGTTAAAAGAAGAAAAATTATCCCCCTAGTGGTAGAGGACAGATTAACCGCTTTTGCATTTGTTCCTATGGGAACGAATGCTTCAACTTGCAACCGGCACCTCTGCATACATCCAAAAAACAGCCATAATGGATTAATTGGGCTTCAATGCATTCCAATGGGAAATGCTGATCCGACTTACAACCATTTAGACTTACAGCCATCTTCTAGAACGGATTATGGTCGTAAGTTGAGGCACCACTGCACAAAATAATTTGTACTATACTAGATGGGTTGAGAGAACCTTGTATTTATCTTGGAATTAAGACCATGGATTCAGAAGATAATATTCCAGATTTCTGATGCAGCACAATATGTTACAAGGTTCACAATGTTTGATACTTAAGCAGAAGTCCGATTTAAATGGGAGGTTGCAATTCAATTGCATTAGTTTTCATAGACTAAAGAATGAAAGTGTATGTTCAAAGTACATGTTTACCCTGAAGGGCATCAATATGTAAAATAGCCATTAGGCTTTTAGTTGTTGTAGTAGTATGTCATACTAACTGCCATAACCCAGTAGCATCAGCATAAGAATAAAAACGAGTTCCATGTAATGTTAAGTCTAAAGTTGCCAACACCTACAAATGGCAAGATGATCTAGAAATAAAGTTCTCCAGTTTTTAAGCATTTCATCCAGCTGATACGAGATCTTGAGATCTTGAAATGACGAGATCTTGAAATTCTATCAGCAGAAAATGACTCACAAGAAATATTGGAGGCATTCAGCTGAGAAGATTGATAGTTCAGTTGTACTGCGCATGCTTTGCACGTAAAAGCTCTCAAATTCAATCACTGGTACATCCACAGAAAGGACTACAAATCCCATTGAGCCAATGATACTGAGATATCTGGGCCAATGCTCTGACTTAGCATCATGTTTTTAGTTGTTAGACAAGAATTGTAATAATTCTATTTACAAATGCTATTTTTATGTTCAGCAATAATCCTTCAGTAGCCTTTGAGAAAACCATTACTGTACATTTGATTAGAATATGTGGTCAATAAAGTGATCCCCAGCAGAGTAGATACCTGATGCGGCACTTTCTTACATTTCTCAGACTAGACCAAATAGTGGAATCCTATGCCCACCTGTCTAAAAGCAAGGAATTAGACTTGTGAAAAGCCATTAGATTGTACTGTAAAATAGACTTATGCATAATAATCTTAGAACTATAGAGCTGGTAGGGACCCTAGGGATCATCAAGTCCAGCCCCTGTCAAGGAGGCATAGTAGAGAATTGAACTCCCAATCTCTGGCTCTGCAGCCAGATACCAAACACGGAACTATCCAGCAGCTCTTGATAACATAATGTATCCCTACATCTGGTCTTAACATTTCCTGGCAAATCATGACACAAACAAGTCCCCGTATACCTTCATAAACCTCTCCAAGCCTTTGAACTCAGCCCAAATGTAAATATTCTGACAGCTGCTACTAATGTGTGACATATCTCTCTAGCAGCTGTGATGTTTTTCATGCTTCCTAAAACATGAAGACCAGAACTTCATCATGTAGCCTTTACTTAACACAGAATTTTCAGATTCTACTGGCCTGAAAAAATATTGGTATATACAAGATTTTCGAAGAATGATTCTAGTTGAAAGTAAGAGAGAAAAAACTGGGATAGCGTTGGAGAGTGAGAACAGCACACAGGGAAAAAGAAAGCAACAGAAAGTTTTGTCTACCGGCTCTTTCACTTTTTGATTAAATATCCTTTCAGTTTTTAGGCTTTTCTATTCAAGACTATTTAATGGAGACCTGTAATTTTAATTGTAATACCTAAAGACTACACACATACTGGAAACATTTAGTTGATTAAAATAATAATACATGCCATTACGTTGATTCTGAGTCTTTTTAGGTGTAAAGTACTCAGAAATGGTTTACTCTTCCCTTCTAGTTGATTCTGAGTCTTTCTAGGTGTAAAGTACTCAGAAGTGGTTTACTCTTCCCTTCTTTGGGAGACCTGGGACTTTGCAGCATGTGTACACGCTGGCTTTTCCTCCAGGAGGCACTGTGGGGAATTTAACTTGTGACCTCTAGATTACCACAGAAGTCCTGACCTCTGCAGAGCAAGAGATTAGGTGAAAAATGTAGAACAGATAACGGGAAGTAGTTCTTCACACAAGTTAGTCTATGTAATTTGCTAACAATGATGTAGTGAAGCAATATCTATAAACCTGAGCAGCTTTAATGGGTTCATGGAGGATAAGACAAAAATGGATTCTAATCAGATAATTGTGTTTTAGGGCATAACCACACCAGCACAGTTTCAACAAAAAAGAGGAAAGTCTGAAATTCAAGAAAGCCTGGCTCCGAGCACAGAAAAATACAGCCTGCAAAAAGGTCAACGATCTCTACCCAGCCACAAGGACCAGTGATCACTGCACACAAAAGACTAGCTAACGGCACCCATCAATCCCAGTGACAGATAATCTCCCCCCTTATCACAGCAGTACACCCATAACAAAAGCACCCTGATCACCATAATCACCCAATCTCCTGAAAAGGACAAAAAGCTGATCCCACAGCTACAAATACTCAACTATCCCACACACTACACCAGAACACAGAGTTCTAACTCCTGCCCCCTGAAGATGCGGGCCACAGAGACTGGCAAAACGTTAGGAAGAAAAACCTCCAGAACGTGGCCAAACAGCCCAACAACCAATTTAGAAATTTCATTGCAGTTGTAGTCCTGACCTGTGATAGCACACAAGGCAAAAGCAAGACAATATAATGTAACTAGAAATGCTACAATGAAACATGGCCCTGCTGGCCAAACAAAATATATCACATACTTAGGACAACAGATCTACTCATGATTAACACTAACATTGCATAGTCAGTGGGATGAGCACTGAAAAAAAAACAATGAAAAATGTGTCACAAACTATGGGATAAACACACACATCTAGCTGTTCCCTTGCTTTCAGTATCAGAAGTGGCATGCTCCTCTGTTCCCCTTGATGGTATCCAGTCCTGCTTCTTGATTTACCACAGGTTAACTACTCGAGGAGCAGAATAATGAAGTAAATAAGTGTTGGGTGTTAGGAGAGCAGAAAGTTTAATGTTCATATACCTATAAGCGGTCTCAGTATTTCACATTTTACATTTTGGATCTTTGGTTTATTATGGTGAAATAGAAGTTTTTCTTTGCATACGTTCTTGTGTCTGTTCCTATTAATTACTTTCATTTATATTCCACCATTTCTCCAGTAAATACATGTCTCTCACACTCTCTGATTTATTTTTATAAGAGTCCTGTGAGGTAGGCAGGCTGACAGGTACAGGTCACCTACTGAGTTCCATGTCTCAGTGGGTACTTGAACTTAGGAACCCCTAGGTTTCAATCTAGCACTCTCACTACTGCCATACTGGTGTTTCTATTCCTGCATCTAGTGAAACACAAAGTGTTATGCTTGCCCTCTTCATTTTTTTAAAAAAGTGGCATTTACTACAGCGGCTATGTCAGTAGCATCACAATTTAAGGGCCAAAATATGAATCGAATGTGGATTTTTGTGAGGTTGGATTCAGTGGCTTTATGGGCCTCTTGCAACTCAATTATTCTGCAATTCTGAGGATTTTTTTTAAAAGAAGAAATTCATTCTCCTAACCGGGTTCATATAGAGAGCTATGGTGTGAGACTGCTACTGGAATTTGGCAACAGGAGAGGACAGTTTGTGGTCATTAAATAAAGTGTGCTGCTTATATACCACTTCATAATGCTTAAAGCTCTCACTGGGTGGTTTACAATTTAATTATGCAGACATTTAATTTAACTGAGTAGTTAAATAAGTGTTCTGTGTTTGCTAATTAAATACTTAGTAACTGTGAGGAAATTAAAAGGAACTTAAAATATTGCTAGTACTGTATTTTCTTTGTTTTTAAGAGGAACTGGAGAAAGTCAAAAACAGCTGGATTGTAGAAAGCCTAGGTGGAGTTTTTCTGTAAAATCAATGGTTTTGTTCTTCCTCTTTTCTCTCTTTCTGTGACAGCTCACTGTTCTGATAAATGTATCCATGGCCGTTGCATTGCTCCAAACACCTGTCAGTGTGAGCCTGGTTGGGGCGGACCCAATTGCTCCAGTGGTAAGTCTGCATCTGCTGCTGTCAGTCTGGTTGTCTGTCTGTTCCGTTGTCCTTTTCTGTGAACAGATTGTGTTGTTGTTTTTTTAAATTATGTCATGATTTCCCAGTGCCTCTTGAGGGAATCAGCTCTCATTTACAAGTACATACAGGGACTCTCTCTGTGTGATGCAGTTTTTCCTGTATTTCTTCTTTCTTAAATTAGAGATGTCAATGAACAACAAATAAAACCTTACACTACTTTGTTTTCTGACACATAAACCATTTCTTTAACAGGTGGCATACACATAGAGAGGGAAAGAAAAATGAACATGATGTATTCACAACATATTCTTGGCTGTTACTTTCCAGCTAAATGGTGTGAAAAGGAAACACATATACCATTTCTTTTACACTTGACAAAGTAGCTTGGAGATTTTGCATATTGCATAGACAGTGGGCACAATTTTAATTTCCACACTTGTGAAAAAGAGTGTCCTCAAAGTGTCTAATTGTCAGACTTTACTAGTAAGTGACCATATCTTGAGATTGTTTTCAGTGGGTATCTGTATACCAGTAGGAGTGGTATAGCCAGAGCTTGGATATGTTGCTTTTAGAGAGTGGCTATGTTTGTTGGGGAGTTCTCATAACTTTAACCCCCCCCCCAACATTTCTAAACTCTGGTTATGGAGTTGTTGTATTTGGAAATCATTTTTGGACCCTGTAATCCTCTGCTTTGAGGATTAGATGCAACAAAATGGCCTGTTTCCAATTGTTTTCTTCTTCCTCACTAAGCATTTTTCAAAGTAATACAAAAGTACCCTTGAAATCAGTAGGCTTAAGAACATTCACCTCTGAGTTGGATTGTAGCCAATATTTTAAATAAAGCTTTTTCTGCATTCCAAAACACAGTGTGAAACAAATACCAAAACCACGTGGTATTTTGCATGCAACAGAGATCAGCTACTGGCATGCATGTATTTTAAAGCTGCATTCCCTCAGCTGATTCTTTTCCAATACTTGCACAAGAAATGGATTAAAGTACTTCTAACTGCAGGAGGGACTATAGTTTACTAAATGTTCACAGTGACATTTTAAAATTGACCTTATGGGAAAATGCAAAGAATTACATCTGGACTTTTCCTATATTTAGGTTACAATGCTGATACAAGGAAAGTGTTTCAGCACTTTCTATATAGCTGTACCTCAGTCTCAACTTGCACATAGTAGTATATATCCTTATGATTTGTAGATAGCCAGAAACATCTATTATTATTTAATCCAGTCCTTTCTAGAGACCCCTCCTGATGTCCCCTTAAAAAGCATGCCACCCAATTTGCACAGCAAGTAGGGACACCCCATATTTACAGCAAGTGTTGTTGTTGTTGTTGTTGTTGTTTTTTCTTTGTCTTCATAGCAGTTTGCCACTGAAAATTGGTTGCAGATAGGGAAACCCATCTGGAGGAGGCAAAAATATTTAAAATGCCCTGTAGCTGTTTACCACTGAAATCCAGCAGCAAACTGTGATGCCATTAAAATAAACAAAATTCTTGCTTTAAATACCCCAATATAACTGCCACTGAATCTGGCAGCCAGATGCAGTCTGAAAGTGGGGAACAACATTGTACCAGAAATCTCAAGGTTGCCCATCTCTGGTTTAACAGTCTCATCACCTCAACTGAACATGTCCGCTGTGAACACTGTGTTCATTAGTGTCAAAATGCATAATAACACGTGGTTTCTCACCATTTCTTAAGAGATAACCATGTTTGCCAGATTTGATATGCAGAAATCTAAAATATGCATACAAAGGTCTATAAAATGGATATTTCAGTTTTGCTTTGCTTTGCTTTGCTAATATTCAGAAAAGGAATGTATTAACCAAATTCAGCTCTCTGTTAGCTATAATGGGGAACCTGTTTTCCAAAACAGTTTTCCTCCTCTTTCTTTCGTTTGTGCTGGTGTTAAAGTTCTTTCTGCCTTTCTTCTGTCCATTTGCCACTTGCTGCTAGTGTCATCAGGTTCAACAGTACAAATATTGTGTGCTTTTGTCTATGTTCAACAGAAGTCATGTGAAAGAGCCCTTGTTGCTGTACCTTGGACTGAGAAATCTCATGGGAAGTTTAAGATCCCCTGGAAAATCTTTGCATAATTGCAGCAAACTTCAAGTGATAAACCACTATTTCTTCAAAAACTGATACTTCAAGGGCAGATTAAGACAGAAAAAGGCATTTTGTTCACATGCAGTTGAGACAGGATTTGGGGAGAAAGAAGCCTTGACTGCCTGGCAGACATCCATGTACCCCTAGTAAAGCTTGTAAACAAAAGGGAAATCAGATGCTGCTTTTATTAGGCTGTCCCGCTGCAAATAAAATTTTCCATAGACATTCTAAAATGAAAGAATGATTTAGCTTATATAATTTCCACAATAACATTTGTTACTGTCTGTATGATTTACTTACCTATGTTGACAAACACAGCTTTTCACTGGAAAAGGTGGTGCAATACTGACCCCTTTCCATTAAAAAAAAAACATGGTTTAATCATACTGATGAGTGCCTGGAAATTCTCTCTATAGATTCCTATCATAAATGTCATATTTAATCAATTTCTATGATTTAAATGCCAAACAATGCAAGGCTAAGACAACTGACGTTTATCATAATACAAACATGATAATTCTTTGCATGTTTTTATTTCCTTTCTTACCACACATTTTACAAAGAGGTTCACTTGCTCAAGCAAATTGTCAATTAATAGTCATATTGGGTTGATTTTGTTGTCTATACTAGGCAATTAAACTATGCCCAAATTGTTTGGGCAAATGCTATTTTTCCAGTGTGAAGCAACAGCCGAAATCCTGTTGCAGGTTACTGAAAATGTAAGGGCAATTGTGCAAAGACTTTTTGCATTTTGCCATTCTTTGTCACACACCTGGTGCTCAACGCAGTGTTCAATGCAAGGATGTCCAAGTGTGCAATGGAGTTCTGGCAAGATCACGAACACTTCTTGTGCAATTATTATTCTGCAAGGCCCGAAACTGGCACAAATCTGCTCAACATATTTTTTTCAACAGATAAAAAAAATCAATTATGAATGGAAGAATAAATGAAGTGACAGCAATTTGCAGGCCAAAGAACATGCTTCTGTACTATCTGTGGCATTGCAAGATATTTTGGACTGCTTTGGCAGCATAAATTTGAAAGCTGTATTAGAGGGTAGATGAAAAAAACTGAACAAAGAACAAGCACAATGTCATTGGGTCAGCAGCCTTGTATATATTGTATGTTTCTTTATGTGGTGAAAGTCTGGCTTAACTTTGAACTTGACTTCTTGTATCAATTTATGTGAAACATGAAAAATATAATAAGAATGCTGTGATTTTCTTCCTGTGGATTTCCTGGCCTTGTGTATAGCAAGGGTGTAGCACTGATATCATTTGCATTTGAATTTATTCAGATTCATCTACCCCTTTAATCCCTTGTTCCTGCATACAGGGGAGTGAGTTAGCAACTTTTGTTTTTATTAGTGGTAAATAGAGATGGGCACAAATTGGAAAAACAACGAATTGGGGTGGTTCATGCTTTGTGGCTACCCACAAACCACAAGCCATGCCCCGAGCCCTGGAAAAATGACCTGGTTTGTGGTTCTTTACAGTGAGGTCTTGACTTGAGAACTTAATCCGTATTGGAAGGCGGTTCTCAAGTCAAAAAGTCTGCAGGTCAAGTCTCCATTGACCTACAGGGCATTGAAAACCGATTAATCCCGTAACAGGCCGTTTTTGTTCCATTTTGGTTTTTTTCCGGTCTGTAAGTCAAATCTCAGTCTGCAAGTCAAACCTAACTTTTGCAGCCAGAGAAGTCTATAACTCAAAAAGTCTGTAAGTCAAGCCGTCTGTAAGTCAAGGGTCCACTGTATTGTGGTTCATGCCTGAGGGGAGGAGAACCTAACAACTCCACCTCCCATGATGCCTGTCTGCCTCCTTCCCAGTGCCCCTGTCACCTCCCTACCTGGTCCTGCCACTGCCTCCTCTTCCTCCTCCTCCACCACCACCTTCAGAGAGAGCAACTGGGCTTCCCTTCCAGCAGCTGGGCTAGCGGTCTCTGCACAGGCACTAGCCTATCAACTGATAGGTGTGTTCCCTTCCAGGAAGGGAAGCCAGGCTGCTGTCTCTGAAGATGATGGTAGCGAAGGAAGGACCATCTATTTTGCCAAAGCAAAACGAAGAACCGGCTTGCTTGAACCGAACCCTGAACCAGCCTGGTTCATGGGTTTTTTGGTTCCTAATTCGATTCATGCCCATTTCTAGTGGCAAAGTGCAGCTCACGATTGTATCTGAACAGAGCTAGCTACAGCTGGCAGGAACCATAGCTTGACCTCTAAAAATCGATGGCAAACAGGGTTTTTTTGATCCTGGTTTAGAAATCTGATTCATGAGCAAACATTTTGCTTCTCTATGCAAAACGTGAGGGGTTAACAGGAATTCCATTACTTCTTTCCTTTCCTGTATGCTGAGAAATTCTGTTTTAATGCATCATGGTCTGCCATCCATATAAATTGTACTAGTCTCCTAAAATAATTATGAGACAAATGTGCAGTGACAATTTAGAAACTGGCTTATAGCATTGGTATAATTAGAAATGGGCTGCACAGGCTCTTGCTCAGGTTGCAGTGCCACAGAGAATACAGGTTAGATGTGCGAAAACCCTGGAAAACGCCATATTGTGTCCCCAAAATGGGGCCAGTGCATGTACAAAAAATGTCCTCCATATGGTTCTGAGTGGTGACAATGAAGTTGTTTACAATCATGAATGATTTAATATGCAGTGAAATTCTTAACTTTCCCATTGATCTGTCTTCCCTTGTCATGGCTTGTCATTCCTGATCCCTAAGGGGGATTGTAGATCTGATTACCAAATGACATACCCTTCTATCTGTTCTTCCTCCTATCCTGCTTTACCTAATATGCTTCTTTAGGTTGGAAATAATTTCATTACCCTTTGTTGTTTCTGCTGTTCCCAAAC